GGGCTATGCTTGGGCTGGGTGGGGCGGGGTGGGAAGTGGTAGCAGTGCTGGGAGGGGGGGCCGTGAGGGGCTGGAGCCACCCCAAAATTTGCCTTGGCTTTCCTTCTTCCCCATCCCCCCCCGCCGTCCCTCCCTCCCAGCTCCACTGGCTGCTCAGCATCATCCTGCAAACCCTGGCCCAGCCCCCACCAGGAAGAGGCTGGCGCAGCCTTGAGCCCCAAGTATGCACTGGCAGCCCACTCACCCCACATCTGGGGGGCATGTGCCCCCCATGCCTCCCCCAGGAGTGTGCACAGCAGCAAGAACTGCCTGCCCCACTGCCCAGACAAGCCACAGCCTTGGCTGTGCAGCATCTGCCCCTCTCCTTCCCTCTCTGAGGGGGCCTCAATCTGTGCTCCCATGCCCCTCCCCCCCCCTTTCCCCAACAGACTTACCAGCTGGACGCTGCTCTCCAAGCTGTTGGGCTGCATATCAGCAATCCTATCAGTATTGGCTAATATGGCTCATTAATAGCGTTGTATTCTCTGTAACCTAGTTGCATTCCCCTCCTCACCCCCATCCCTCTAATGCTAGTCCCTCACTCGGGCGACTTGTATTTCCCTACTGGCTTTTGTCATCTTTTTGGATTCACAATCCTAAACATCTACTGATAAAATTTAATTGGCCATTGGTATTGGCCCAAAAAATCATTATTGGTGCATCCCTAACAAGGAAACTAAAAATATTGGCAGTGGTTGGTCACAAGGTGGCAGAGTATCTCAAGGAGTTGGGAATCTGTGGCCAGTCCCACAGGAAATGCTCTTTAAATGTCAGAAGTCAAACCCAAGCACTGGTAGTTGCCTTGCTGCTGAGACATGTTTTCTCTCTCCCACCAGCTGATCGGCGAGGAGGAGGATGTGAGTGTGTACGACATTGCTGACCACCCTGACTTCCGCTTCCGCACCACCGACACTGTGATTCGCATTGGCAATTCCGAGGGAGCTTTGGCCAAGGATGATGAAGTGAGTTTTGGGTGTACTCTATGGCTTAGCTCAGCCGGTAGTCACCGACTGGGATTTTCAGAAATGGGCCATGGAGCAGTAGGACTCCAAGCCCCATTTGGTCACCTAGATCCCATGGCCTCTTTTTGACAAACTCAGCCTGGATATTGTCTGGATACCAGTGCAGTCTTTCCCCCTACTCCGGGGGGGAAAGAGTACCATGTTCAGAGTCATCCACCCTTGAGTCCTAGGTTCTTGGTTAAAACAGCAGAAGGAAGGGAGGTGACATGATGAGACTTAGAGGGTTTTCCAGCTGTAATTTAAAACTGTTGAGCACTTGCTTAGAATGCTCCACTAAGGCGTCAACGCGGCTTCCAAGGTGGGGAAACTCAGTGGGTTCCCAAATGGAGAGACGGTTAACTTCCATCTCGAGCTAGCAATGGTTGTTTTCCATGAGGAAGTTCAAGTTCTTATTATACATTTAGTTTCTGTCCCGGGGTGTGCAATTATTTCGGGCAGAGGGCCGCTTACTGAGTTTTGGCAAGCAATCGAGGGCTGCATGACAGGCAGCCAGGGGCAGATAAATATTAATTTTCTAAATTTTTTAGGGGTCCTGCAGGCCGGATAGAATGGCCTGGCGCGGCGCATGTGGCCTGCCCCTGTTCTGTCCTCTAAGGAGTGAAGCAGTCTCTTCTGGGTGAGGGAGAGCAAAGCTTTCCTTTGGGGCTGTGAGGGGCAAAGGGAGACTTTGTTGGAAATGGACTTCCTTTCCAGAAGGCTGATGGTCTTACAAAATCATAAAAGCAATTCCTATGTTAAGATCTTGTATGAAAAGGAAGTTCTTTCTTGCTGGCAGTATATTTATGATGTGTTTGAGCATGAAAATCCATCTCGCCTGGCATGCATAAGGCTTGTTCCAGAGTAAGAAGATCCTTATTATTTGGGCCTCAGGAGGCTGTGTGGCATGAGGTTTTTCTCATGTCTGTTCCTTATTTTTTCTTTCGTGTCACAGAATTGTGGGGCTCCGGAAATGCTGTCCTTTTTGTATTTCTTTTCCCCAAACTGAACAGGCTTTAAAATCAGAATACCTAAAATGACCACGAGGTGGCACGCTGGTTCAGAAAGAAACTAGCAGGGTTCTGTTTATTCAGGTTAAGCTATCAAAAACGCTTTCTCTTTTAAGAGGCTGGAGCTTCGTAACGGAGCTGACATTGATCAGAAGCTGTCATAACATGGGCCACGCTTCTCCTGAAGCAGTGATATTCTAATCTGCAAGGCAGCAGTCCACAAAGACCTTGGGTGCTTGCAAGTTCTCCTTCAGCCTTTCTATGCCTGTGACTGCCCGTATTCTCACTGTTCCCCTACATAACACTTGCCTTTGGGTGGGGGCTAAGGTTATGTGCCTCAGTTAGGCAGAGAATTTATTCCTCAGATCCCTCATTCTACATATATATGGTCCAAGACACTGTGACACTTTACCCTTACTTCTTTAGCCATCCGTGGGACAGGTGGCTCGTGTTGATGTGAGCAGTAAGGTGGAAGTAATCTGGGCTGATAACTCCAAGACTATCATTCTTCCTCAGGTAAGGTCCACAGTGGTCACTGTAACTTGAAGTTGGATAACATGCCCTGTCTTTGGTTTGTTGAAGCAACAAGCATTCTGGACTCTATATAAAAATGAATGTTGTCGTACTCCCTGCTTACCGTCACCTCTGTCTGGTGATATAACCACCTGCTTCGGGAAGTCTTGACCTGCAGTGCTTGGTCTTGTTCTTTGGTGCCTCTCTTCCCTTTGAAAACAAATTCTGACTCACTTGGTAGGTTCACATTTGCTGCCTCTTTGTGCAGGGAAGATAGTTTTGTCTGGACTGTTGCACTACAGGCCAAGTCTCCCTCTTGCATACCTACACACGTGCATGCAGCTCTGGCAGTGTGTTTTGTCCCTGGCCCATAGCACCCCCTGCTGTTCTGGTCGTGGTGCTGTTATGCAGTCGGTGCTTGAGGAAATACTCTGTTAGGAGACCAGCACCAGTAGCCCTCAGTCCTGACCTGCAGCATGCCTTGCTGCTGTAGGCCAGAGTCCCTACCCTGTTTTGCTAAGTATGAGTCTAGCCTGCAAACACTGATTACTGTCTGACCACTGCTAAGCTCTTACAGTACATGAGATGAGGTTTTGCATTTAAAAATCAAATCCACTGGGATCCCAGTTAGAGCCCTTAAATAATGATCTGCTGTTGGATTTGAACTCAAATCTCTCCCAAAACAAAGTGGTGAAGGTGAGCAGAGGATATAAAATCTAGGTAGAACCAGTGTGCTAATCCACGTACGTAATTAACCCCAATATGTCACCTTCCACTTCTTTGTTTCCAGGTCCTTCACGCTGCCTAATGCTTCATTATTTTGTCTCTGTTTTCAGCCTGCCTCTCTTCCCCCTGTCATGTCTAATGAGCACAGCCATAACTAAAGTGCCTCTGTAGGGTCCCACCCCTGTCAGACTGGCACAGAATGCCATTGCCTCCGCTACAGAGGCTCACTGGTGTGTGGAAACAGTTGATGAGGAAGATTTTTTTTAAATGAAGCAGCTCTGCATTAATTACAGTAGAATAGTCAATGCCCGCACTATGGAAATGGAATAGGATGTTACAAAGCAGGCTGCTGTCTCCCTTCCCCCTATCGTCACATGGCTACGACTCGCATCAGAATCAACAGTCTGGTGTGTGCTCCACAAAGGGATGTGCTCTCTTTCTCATGGGGTCCAGCTCTGTGCTTCTGGAGCAGCTACAGCTGCATCATAGTGCTCCCCTGGATTCTGCCTGCACTCTTAATTACAGCAATCAGGGAGATATTAAGGGACAGTGTTATCTCTCGATTAAATGCCAGTGTTCGATCCCTATATGTTTGCCCAGAGAGTAGCTGTCTGGGCACTTTATTTTTAGATCAGACAAGAGATTGCATAACTGGCTAATAAATTAGCCTCTCAGCTCAAATTTGGGGCAGGCCACATTGGGCAGTGAGTCTGGAAGGCTTTGGTTTAGTTCCCCCAGGTCACTTACTCTCTGCTCTGCAGCTCACAATGGGAGTCTTGTTTAGGAGGGGCCTGGGACTGGGGTGGATCAGTGCTGGTGCAGCTCATGATTTTAAGGCTTCTTGGTAGGACTGTGTGTGGAGAGGACTTGTACAGTATGTCTGCAAGCCAGGGTTAGCTGCTGCTATCAGGTTCTCTGGAGCATGTGCTACAGAGACTTTGCAGTTATCATTCCAACTTTCAGAAGGTCACGGGTAAAACTGCCCATCACAGTGAAGCTGTACAAAATTCTTCTCAGCCCGGAGCTATTGGCCGTTGCGACATAGAGGCAAATTTGTGCCTGAGCTGGGCAGCTTTGCAAGGCTGCCTCTGAGACTCAATACACCAAGGAAAAGAAAGAGTGTATGATTGGGAGGATGGGGAAACCAGTTGTTCAGCACGGGGACTGGCAAAGAGCAGTGGGAAGAACACAGCTCTGAGAGCCAGTTGAGCAACTGAAGTGAGACTTCCTTATCCCAGTTGAACCTTAAAAAGCCATAAAGTCAGGTCACTATGATCAGGAGTAAATTGTAGCAAAGCTCTGAAAAAGGCTATGTACCACAGGAGAAGGTAGTAACATGTGCCTGTTCTGGCTGGTTCAGCCTTGTGTTGGTGGAGGTCTAGAAGGCAACCAGCCAGGTTGGGTATTTGTTCTTGGGCAGTAAAAGCAGAAATGGAGCATGCAATGCTAATACAGTTTTCAGAAATGCCAGAGTGTCTGCTCTGAAGTTCCAGACTGCATGCACACTCTAGTCTGCTGCTGAATTCCCAGCTTCTGGCACTGCTGTGACCTTAATAGTTGCACTTGTTATCCAGAATATCCTGCTTTGAAGGGAAGAATACTGACTCAAAACCTAGCGCATAGGAAGCTTGTGAGCCTGGCACATAGAGCAAACCAAAGCCACCTTGTGTAGGTAAAAAAGAGAACGGCCCAATAGGAAGAACGCATTTGCAGTGTCCCATTTCTGACTACTTGTATGATGGTAGAGACTGATCTGTGTCCAAGTGAAATGTCAGTAACCATGCATGGCTCACCCCTACTTCTTGTTTTCTGGTTTGATTCTGGTCTCCTTTAGCACTTGTACAACATAGAATCAGAGATTGAAGAATCGGACTATGATTCTGTGGATGGCAGCACCAGCGGGGCATCCTCAGATGAATGGGAGGATGAAAGCGATAGTTGGGAGACAGACAATGGCCTCATGGAAGATGACCACCCAAAAATCGAGGAAGTAGAGCCAGAAGAGCCAATAGCAGAAGAGGTAAAAAAAATAGAGGAGCAAGTGCAGGGTGCTGTGGCGATGGCAGTGCCAGATCTAACTGCAGAGAAGGTTGGAAAAGAAGGAGCTCCAAAGAGCTTCCGGGAGTTGAAAGAGGCCATCAAGATCTTGGAGAGCCTAAAGAACATGACCGTAGAGCAGCTGCTGACTGGCTCTCCCACCTCCCCAACTGTGGAGCCCGAAAAACCCACACGGGAGAAGAAGTTCTTGGACGACATCAAAAAGCTTCAGGAAAATCTGAAGAAGACCCTGGATAATGTTGCCATTGTGGAAGAGGAAAAGATGGAAGCCATGGTGGAGACGGAGAAGAAGGAAGAAAAAGTGGAGGTGCAGGCACCGGTGAGGTCTGAGTGGCCCAGTGAGACGCCAGTGTTGTGCCAGCAGAGTGGAGGCAAGCCTGGTGTCACCTTCACCAGTGCCAAAGGGGAGGTCTTCTCTGTGCTGGAGTGTGCCCCAGGTGAGTGAGTCTCAGCCAGGATGACGGACTTGTCCCTTCACTGCCTTGCCAGGTTGTCATTGCCCCGCTCAAACTGCTTGCTCCTCTAAGGAGGGAGTATGGTGCTCCACCCTTGGGATGCTCAAGTTAATTGGGAAGGGGTAATTAAACAGGGCTGCTCTTTTTAGAACAGTCTGGTCTGGGAACCAAATCTGGCTCTGCTGTGTAGTAGCACAGAGCACTGTCACCAGTTGTCTTTTTTGTTTTGTTTCGTTTTGGTTTTTTCTGTGGTGTAGATTCCCTTCTTTTGCCCCTTGTCTCAGCCAGGAGCTTAGCTGAGAAGTAGAGTTTTGCAGTCAACAATCCACGAGCATGAAGTTTCTTCAAACTAGTGTAGTGTAGAGGTGGATGGGGACTGAGAGGCAGAATGGATATTGTCACATGTACCTCCTGGCACTGGTGGCCTTTGCTCGCTTAAGCAAAGACGGACAGTTCTGGGATGCATTGGTGGCAGCATAGCTTAAGACATTGGGTGGATTGATCATCTTAGACGGGACAGATGGGAAAACTTGGCTCAGCCTTGTTTTGAATGTGAATAAAGAGAGGTTGTTATCATAACTCGTCAGTCAAGATGGGAGATTTTGTACCCGAGATGTCTCAGTAGGGTTGTGTGTTGACACTTGCTGCAAACAAAGTGGCTTGACACCTTTAGACAACAAGTCGTGTGACCCCTTCCCAGCTTCTCTGCTTAGCCTCTTGCCATGATGCCGCTTGGGTTTTGGAGGGGGGGAACTCTATTTGAGGGTGTATGACCTTGTGTTTGGAGGAAAGTTGCTTTAATCAGCTGCAATTTCTCTGACCCTTTAGACACTCACGCCTTTAAGAAAATGGAATTCCAGCCCCCAGAAGCCAAGAAGTTCTTCAGCACAGTGAGGAAAGAAATGGCGCTGCTAGCAACCTCGCTGCCTGATGGCATCATGGTCAAGACATTTGAAGACAGAATGGCAAGTCCATGTGCCCCAGTTCCCATGTGTTATTGCTCGGCTTAATGCAACCTGATAGCTAAGGCTGGGCAGGATATGCAAAACATTAATCCCCAGTTTTTGAACTCATTAGGGTTATAATTACAGTACATTGGCTCCTTTGGCATTTCTAATGACCAACGTTTTACAGTTGATAGATAGTGTTAGGGACCAACAGTTTACAGCTGGTTCTGACTGGATCCCTCTCTCCCACCACTATGATGGTCCAGGAATTGAGAAACAAAGATTTTTTTGTGGGGGTGACATCTTTTATTGGACCAACAGCTTGCTTGGGATGACGTTAGACAAGCTTTCAAATTCAAAGTGCTTTTTATCAGGTCTGACCTGAATGCAGAATACATTGCATTTGAAAGCATGTCTGGTGTCATCCCAACCATGCTGTTGGTCCAATAAAGGATATCTCCCCAAAAGTCCTTGGTCTGCAGTGTAATTAGGCTGAGATGGAAATGTGGGTAAAGCGCTACCAAGGTAGTGACTACTGACTAGATGAAGTGGCATTTTTCATGAATCCCTGCTCCTCCCTTGAAAACTTTATTCCAAAGTATGTGCTCGGAACTGTGGTGTGGAAAGATGAGGACTGATGCTCAGCCCTTCTGATGGGTAAAGTCCACAGCACAAATCCAGTTACTTGTAGGCCTGGGGAGGTCTAAACAACTTGAGCTACTTCTTCCAGGACCCCTAGTTAGTACTGAGTTCATTAAAGCCCCTTAATCTCTTCAGTCTTCCCTTTCCCTCACAAACACAGTACTCACATTTCCATATGGAGCTCAGAATCTTTGTTTGGGAAGAGGATGGTTCACCCAGTCTCTTGAGGTCTCTAAGTCCCATGTGCTGACGCTTCCTCTCTTCACAGGATCTTTTCTCAGCACTTATCAAGGGGCCCACACGCACACCCTATGAAGACGGCCTCTTCCTTTTTGATATCCAACTTCCCAACATCTACCCTGCAGTCCCTCCTCTCTTCCGCTACCTCTCCCAGTGCAGTGGGAGACTGAACCCCAACCTGTATGACAACGGCAAGGTGTGCGTCAGCCTTCTGGGGACATGGATCGGCAAGGTAATACTGTCCTCAGTCTCTCTCTGAGATACCAGGCTGTCCAGATAATCCAAGCTTTGGTGACTAGGCAGCTATCTCCATTTTTGTCCTTGGGGCCAAACTGGTAGATGAGGATCAAATCTTGATGTAGGGTCAAGGTCTAAGTGCATTGAGCTTTGAACTGTGCCTGAAAACAGGGTTTGGCAGAGCCAAAGCATAGTGTATATATAAGAGAAAAAAAGCTACTGCAGAACCTACATTTGACCCTTGGCTCTCAGGGCTGAGAGAATCTGGGGAGCATCATGGGAGGACCTCTGCCATTTTGTTCAGGTCCCTCCAGCACTGGAACATTAGTTTGGCTGTTCACTGCAGTTTAACTGGAAGGTAGGTTAGCTAGGACCACAGAGGCACAGTGAGTTAGGGGGTGATGCTAGTTAACTCTTGAACAGCTGAGATTGAAGGGAGTGTGGGTGGGTTTGTGGGCATTTGATATGATCTCCACATTTGGACATAATTAGTCTGTCCAAGGGCAGGTGCTACAAATGAGACTGCAGGTGTGTGAGCAGCTCTGTAGAGGAAGCCAGATGAATGCTCTCTTCCTTGAAGTCTGAATTATACCTACAGCTCCTTCAGAGACTGAGGTTTGGGGCAGCAAATGCTTGAGTGCACCTTGATCACTGTTGGCCACAGCCCAAAGGCTGGCACCTCTCTCTCTTTCAGTATAAAGTGCTGGAAAGATTTAAAAAAAAATGTCTAGTCATGCTCCATTACTCATGGTTCATTATAATGCGCGTGTGTGTGTTTTCCAGGGAACAGAGAGGTGGACCAGCAAATCCAGCCTTCTGCAGGTGCTCATTTCCATTCAAGGTAAATGCAGCTGAAGAGGCTGACTGTGGGGAGGGAGTAGGGAGGTGACCTTCTGGAGGGGATGATAGGAAGTCACGATGCCATGGAAAGAGAGCAGGTCCTCTCTTGTCCAGTCAGACCCTTCTTTCCCTTGTTGGGCTCTGTGGAGGAGGCTGTTGAGCCAGCAGTCCAAGTTGGTGTCCATGTCATCCCTTATATTTTTGACTGCCTACTGTTTCGGCAGCATTAGTGGTGGTTGGCATTTTCCTTGCTATCTTGTGCCAGGGAAGGTGAACCACAGCCACCTCCAGCTGCCAGCTAAAGTCTGAAAGCACTTTTCAGAGTACAGAGACCTGCTAATCCTGGCTCCTCTCCACGTAGCTGTTTATAACCAGTGAGTCACCGGCCCAGCCTACGTGCTGCTTATTTTTACTTGAGCATTGGTCATGTTTACCTTTGTTCCTAAGTTGAGACTAAGCAAGCAGAGGTGTGCCTAACTAAGTCCTGCAGCTGTGGCTTCCTGCAGATCTTTTTACCACTGCTGCCTGACCCAGAGCAGCTGCTTGGTCTTGCACAGAAGTTTTCACCCAAATGGGCTCCAATCTACGAAGTCCAGGGACAGGACCAGGCTTTGGCCTAAGGGCATTTATGCTGAGAACCAGGGTCTCTCTTCCTTGCTCATCTACAAAGTTGTTTCCTCAGGTTTAGGAGGAGAAATATCAAGTGCTGCTTGTCTCCATTCTGAATTTGTTAAAGGAATTTTGTTAATGGGAACATCTTTCCCCTTGTCACTCCTGCTGCCTTACCTTGAGAGATCCCATAGTCTGCAGCACTCAATTAGTGGCATCACTAGCAGGCTGGAAACATTGGTGCCATAGGCATGCTGGAGCAAAACAATAAGCCCTCAAATGGCAATGGGGAAGAACTTGATGTGGGTGACTGGCGGCTTGCAATCAGTTACATCCTGTGGGCAGAGCACGGCTGGACTTGGTGGGTGGACCGGAAAAGGACAAGGCAGGCTGGATGGAAAGGTGTTGTCTGTTCAGCAGCGGCAGGAAGGGGGTCACTTGTAATGACTAGATAGGTTTGCAGGGTGGGGAAAGTGCAGATCTGGGGAATTACTTTTCTTCCTCCACACACCTTTCCTAGAGCTCTTCAGGGCTAACTAGTTCCTGCAGAGTTTTGGCACTACACTTTTTGTATCTAACCTCACCCTTCTACCATACTGTATCCCTCGCTAGTCCAGTTCTGGATGTCCCCCAAGCAGGTGCTCCTGGGGCTTGAAACACAAGACCAGTGCACAACCATCTTCACACAAGTGCCCCAAGCAGTATCATGTGCCAGTTCACCATCTCACAGGGTTTCTGCCCACAATTCCCAAGCGTTACCAGCTCGACATGGCTAACGCGAGGCGTTTTAAGTCGAAAGAGCCTTCTCCAGAAGTAACTTCCCCTGTTGCCTTCCCCCATCCCTGCCATTTGCCAGGTTTGTGCAGCTTGAGGCAATGCAGCTATAGGTGAAGGCTTGAGCTGAGCCCACGGTGAGGAGATACAAGGGGTGCAGAGACTACCTGTCCCTTGAGGCCTGGATGCCACCCAGCAGCATCTCCTCTCCAACCCAGCCCAGCATGGCAGTGTCCCAGGTTTTTAACCCTTTCCTCTCTCCTTCCTTCTGGCAGGGCTGATCCTAGTGAATGAACCTTATTACAATGAGGCCGGGTTCGACAGTGACCGGGGCCTGCAGGAGGGCTACGAGAACAGCCGCTGCTACAACGAGATGGCCCTGATCCGTGTGGTTCAGTCCATGATGCAGCTACTGCGCAGGCCCGTGGAGGTCTTTGAGCACGAGATCCATGAGCACTTCTGCTGCAATGGCTGGCGCCTGGTCAGCCGGATAGAGTCCTGGTTGGAGACCAATGAGCTGGTGGAGAGGAGCCATGAACAAGCCAATGGAGCAGATTCCTCCTCTCTCCTTTCTGCGTGCGGTGCCCTGGCTGAGAGCCCGGGAGGACCCATGGAGTCACTGGATGAGTATGGTGGCCCTCTAGAACAGGGGGCAGCAGCGGCAGAGCTTTCCGACTCGGCGCTTGATGGGAGAGAGGAGCTGGATGACTCGGGCTGTGGGGCCTCCACACTCGCAGCCGGTGACCTTCATCAGTATTCAGACTCGGAGAGCACAGGCCACACCCAAGAGGCAGCCCTGGCCAGAGACCTAACGGACGAAGGGAAAACTGCCCAGGACTCTGCCTTGCAGCCAAGTGTGAAACCAAAGAAAAGGAGAAAGAGCTACAGGAGTTTCCTCCCTGAAAAGAGCGGTTACCCTGACATCGGGTTCCCCCTCTTCCCCCTGTCTAAGGGGTTCATCAAAAGTATCCGTGGTGTCTTGCAGCAGTACCGGGCTGCCTTAGTAGAGGCCAATATCCCCGAGTGGAGAGAGGACAAATAAACCATCGGGTTAGGGACAGACGGGCACAGAGGAGATGGGAAAGGCAGAAAGGAAATGGAGCAGCTGTCGGTACACCAATAAATTGGCTTCTCTCACCTCAGCCTCTCTTCCTCAGCTGGTTTGCTGTCATGAAGGTGATAGCTCCCATCACTCATTCCTGGCACTTTCCTTCCTTCTCCCAGAGAAGGTTGTCTGAATAGCTCTTCACCGCCATCCCCCGCACTGCCCACAGTCCCAAAGTATAAGGAGCAGAGACTTTTCTGTTGCACCCAGCAATCTGGAACTGCCCACCACTTCCTGAGCATCTCTGTGTGCAGCGAGGGGGCTTTCTTTCCCCACCCACTATACCCTGGGTGCTTTGTCTGCCAGTTTAGTTCTGCTTGGGGATGGAGCCCAGGAGATGCGATTGGTATGGCATGCAGTGATGAAAGGCAGTTTCCTCCCTGTTCACTGTTTGTTTTTTTTCCTGCACAGCTGGATCTCATGGTGGGTTTTCTGTTGGTTTTTTTTTTTTTTGGTTTTTTATAATAGTCTATACAAGCCTGAGAACATGCAGACACTAGACTGTGGCTAGGTCAGTCTCCTACATGCTACTGTGTTGCTTTCATCTATGCCTTCCTCATAGTTCTTCACAGGAAAATGGATGGCTCCCCCGCTCTGGTACCTATGATTTAGAAACCGAGTGCTGTATGAGCTGTTTGTTCTGCCCAGGACAATACCCTGCCACTCCCTTTGGGTGTCTCTTCTGGAAGTAGATTCAGCCATCTCTGCTATGTCCTTTTCTCTAGACTAGGATGAATTTCCACTCCCACTTCCTGCCTCGCCCCCCGCCAACACCTTGCACCTTGTACAGGATTCAGGTTCCTCCTGGCACTACTTAGCAAGGCATCAGAGCCCTCGAGGTTGGCCACCTGCCATGTATTCCTACCTGCATTGCTGTATCTCTGGCCCAATCGATCAACTGCACAGATAGATCTAGGGCAAGTTGCATCTCCAGCAGCTCTGGTGCGACTGTAAAACCTGCTGCAGCCTTCCCTTGTCCATTTTGACTGCTGCTGATGGATTTCCCCAGGCCAGTAGCTATTTTTGAGCCTAGAGCAACTATAGATCATTGTGAAATGACTCCAAGCCTGCTGCAGCATTGGGAAATGGGTCACGCTAACACAGTACCTTTGAACAAATGCAGCTTTTAGCCTGGACCCTTGTGGGTCTCTCTTCCTGCTTCCTAACCATGCATTAACCCCACCAGGAGTTTCGTATGATGGTCTGAGCAAAATGTGGGCAGTAGCATGAACGAGAGAGAGCATGTGCGTCCTTCATTCCCTCTGCAGTGCTGCTGCGTAGCCATAGGAAACTACTGGCCAGACCTGTGCATGCTCTAGCAGCAGAGAGGGGCTTCCACTGGCAGTCTCGTCCTTCAGAGGACATGCAGTAACAGTGACAAATGCCTGGGACTGTTGTTTCTAGGCTGTGGGCATCTTACTCAGGACTTCTGCAGGCTGCCTCCTGCACACTGCTGGAGAACTTGAATCCACCCCCTACTGGATTTGGCACCTCCATGTAGTGGGGAAGCACATTCCCTGGGGGTGCTATAGTCCTGTATGGACGCTGAGCGAAGCTGGTCTTCCAGCCTAGGCAGTAAAAGGACGAGGGCTCAGGGGAAAGTCGAACTCTCCTGACTAGCCCTCCAGCCCCTGCCCAAGCTGGTGGATGGGCTGCTTGGTTCAAAGCAGGGTGTGACAGCTTCATGGTCAACTCTCTGCTGGCTTTGTGGGCTCGGTGCCCCAGTGAGAAGTAGCGTTTTATCCTTTTTGAATATTCATAAGGCTGCCCCTGCTTCCAGTGTCTTTGAGAACAGGATTTGGCCCCTGAGTGTGGACTGGGGCAGGGGGAACATCAGTAGGGGTTCCTGGGGTAATGCGCTGGCCTTTTTGCCGCTCACTAGGGGAGTGTTGTTTTGGGCCTGCCCACGGACTCCCTGCTCTCTACCTTGATGCTTCAGACCCTCCGTATGAATTGGCAAGCTTGCCCAGGAGAGCCGTGGGCTTGGAGCAGAGGGTTGTGGAGAGGCCGCGTGTTTGGATTGAGCTGCAATGTGACGTTGCAGGGTGATGGGGCACGTGCTGTGAGTGGCTTGCAGTAGATCCAGATACGAAGCTAATTAGCTTCTGTGAGCAAGAAAATGGACTCCAAAGGAGGGAGAAGGCGTGAAGCGGGCAGGGGGCAGGAATGGGAACTGAAGGTGCCATGTGGGCACGCGTGCGAGAATTGGTGTAGGGTGCCCAGTTCCACAAATTACCAGACATGTTATTCACTGCAGCCGGCAGACAGTGACCTTCAGACGCTCATTTCCTTTGGTGCGTCACTGCATTCCTCGCATGCATGTGGCGATCTCCACTCCCGCGGAGCACGGGAGAGGGAGAGGCGGGATGGACAAGCT